TCGATATGGAATTTAATATCGTTCTCATCCTGCATCAAATCGATGTTTAATTAACTGCAAAAGTAGAAATCAATTGAACAAAACTAAACTTTACAACTCATTTCATTGTAAATTTAGACTTCATTATTTTTATGTTGCTTTAATTTAACACTCGTTCTGCACTTCAATATACAGAATAAGGACGAAATTGATATTTCTCTTTATGTAACAACACGACATTTTATTTTTCATGCAATTATTTGATGACATAAGTCAACGCAACACTCGGTGGTGCATTAAATTAATTACACATTACAATACTTTTCACTGTTGCTATAGAGTGTATATAATATAATAATCATTATTCAAATTATTTATTAAAAAATGCACTTTGAAATAATTAGTAATAAAAAAATTTGTAATGCATTGCCAAGTGTGCGTTTAAAAACCGAAATATTGTTTCATGAAAACTGTAATTGGCACCGATACCAAGTCTGTATCTTTTGAAAATTTTTAACATTACTATTACGGTTTTTGATGTAAAAACGATTACCTGACGTCTCTCTTATCACCACTTTCCATAGCCAAATAATTACGAATATAAAACGCCGTCTCTGATGAAGGTTTCATACTTAATGTGTTTCGTGTGTATTCGAAATAAAACGATAATAATTTGAAAACGATTGATCTACGCAAGATTTACGGCAGTTTTTTCTTTATCTCTAATGTTTACGGCTATGTGTTTGCAGATATGACAGTTTTTTATTCATTTCCTGTACATTGTAAACCGTTATAATTAGTTGCCTCATCTACAATGTATTTATCCGTAAAAGGTAGTAAAATGAAAAACGTCGCATGTGGATTCTCCATACAGGAGAAATAAATGAAAAGTGAAATTTATAAATAATTATTCGAATATAATTTAAATTATTATTATGATGAAGTAACAAGATTTAATTTTTTTCAAAATAAGTTATTCACATGGGAAATAAAAGATTTATTTTATAGTAACACGTTTATTGCTTCATTCCTCTATTTTACTTTCTATAATTATAGATATCAGTAGTTAATCGTTGATTGCTTGATTGAACTACTCGATTTATTAGACAAATCCGCTTTGTCCTATGAAGAATTTGCTTCATAATGATGTTTTCAAATTCGAAATAAATAAAATGACTTCGGAGATTTTGTACATCTGTACATATATAAATAAAGATCTTTGTTTGTTTGTTAGCTATACACTTTTAATCCCTTCGACCAATTGCTACGAAACTCGGCGATTACGTTCACATATTTCAAACCTAAAAAATGCCGGGCATTCATTCATAAACTTATTCATTGATTTACATTCGGTTTGCTTATATACTTGTACCTCCATCTATTAGAAAAACATATTTAGAAAGTAATAAACTAAATATAATTCTTACATAACAGTATGTAATTGAAAATATATATTATATTCATTTTATTACTGCTACAACGAAACTTTCTTAATTTTAATAAAACCACCGAACTCTACTAGTTATTCTTGTATTCGGGCATGACCAACATGTGGAGTTTTCTGGGTTTTCTTCGCGTTAGTAACACTTACATAATGTATAGCTTTCCATAAAAGTCTTCATGTCATGCATTCTCCTCGGCAGATTGCTCACGTGTCGCGTTTCCGTAGACGAATGAATTAAACTAATTTTTACCAACGATTATTTATTGTCACGAGGTCCCAATGCCTATCTGTAACTCTTTGTCAGAATGTTTTCAATTTTTTAGCAGTGTCTTGCTCTTGTACTGTACACTATACTTTTCCAATTACCAATAGAATGCTGTCAGTATTCAATATAACTCCGTTTAAAAAAAAATTTTACAATTGAAGTAACGTAATTTCTGCTTTAAATCAGACGTTTGTCTGTAGTTAATATACACGCCTCTAGCTCCCTCGCTTTTCATCACTGGTATCGTCATTCATCTGTCGATTCTTTTCTCATGATTAATAACGGACAGACAACACAGTCATGCGAACAATTACAAAATTGTCTCAAAAGTAGGTTTTGCATTTTACACACACACAAAAAGATATGAGTGTAAAATGCGAGGTTTTTTTATTTGCACCAATGAATCAAATTAATTTTAAATAGAACAATCAAAAAGGTAAAAAAGTCGTTGTACCACAAAAGTGACAAGTTGCTTTGCTTTTCCGGCAACATTTAAAACTGCGTGTGTAACGCCATCTCTTATGGTATTTTGTATTAAAATCTTTTTATATTTCTAATTATTATAAAATGACAAAAACATAATTTTTATGGCAGGAATGGGTTTTATTTTTAAAACTTATAAATGCTAACAGCGAATAAAATCGTCAATAAGTTCTGTCCTACTCTTAATGTAACACATAACCTCTTTTATCTCTCCATCCCTTCGACCTTTAACCTCAAAAATTTAACAGCATCAACCACTCATACATTCAAACTTCCCATCGAAATTTCAGAAATTCGCACAAAAAGCATTGGTGTTATTCAGCTTCAAATAAGGTGAAGGAAATTTTGTCATACATACACAAACGACACGAACAAAACCAGGACATTTAAAGCTCACGATAAAAATTCAGAAATCAAATATAACTTATCGAATGCTTTATAAAACATTTGATACAATAGTATTAATACCCAATATATTTGCAAAAATTTTTATTTGCAGTTACAATATAAAGCTGTTTTAATACAAGTTTAAATACAAAGAAAGTGTAAATTAAAATACTAATTATTTCCGCAATATTAAAATAAAGAAAACACCAAAATCACGTATCCTAATGTGAATAAAATTAGTTATTTTATGGATAAATAGCATATAGACCCGGCGTTGCTCGAGCAAAAAGTATTGAATGCGAAGATTAAGATTATTACGTTATAGTCAATCTTACCCGTTTTCAAAGATTGCAAGAATTAGGTCCCCCTGTTTTCAGACTAATTAGAGAATTTTGAGATGGGTTTTATAATGTTCGATTTTTAACTGCATCTGCGTCTGTAAATTTTGCACGTCGCTTTCTCTTAACACTTCCATTGTCGATTCGTTAATCCTGTCTCTTTCATCCCGGGGGAATTTCGAAAAATCTCTTCGTAGTGTGCATAGTGACGTGCCCTAACTGTGTACCAAATTTCAACTTTCAACTCCTAACCATTTCAAGTGATTATTATTATTAATTCGTCTCGATTATATCTATAGATTAGTATTAATTGTTCTATAAAGAATATTAAACTATTATTCATTTTTTTGCACGTGTTAATTTTCGATTATTCTTTTACAGAATATTTCTACAAATAAGCACAATAAAGCTAGAACAAATCCAATTGAAAGCAATATTATTGGACTAATTATATCTTCCAATTGTACTGCTTGGAATTCCGAATACTTCAGCAGCTTTGATGTTTCCGAATAATCTTTTTTCTCGATAATTCCAGCTTCAAATAAACGTATTACGCTAAAAAGAAATATACTTTCAATTATTTCGTAATAAAAAACGTCATACAGGTAAACAGAAACTTATCTTACGTTTTACTTAATTCCTTTTTAAAGGGAAATCCCTTTCTTACAGCATAAGACTGAACAAATGTGACGAGAACATCTGCAGAAATTGTATATGTGTTTGGTTCTTTTTCCATTAGTTTCTTTCTGCGATCTTTACCAATTATCACAGCAAAGCGTTCTTTTTTAACTTTTTCGCTTGCAGTCGATAAAGACAAGAAATGGTTGTGACGTAAGATGTGATCTTTGAAAATTTTATCCCTCATCTTGTTGGAATTCTTCAAATAATATGCAAGAAACAAAATAATTAAATATATTACAAGTACTGACTGCAACAGTTGTTATACAAAATGTCCATAATTAAAATATTCTTATTTAGTGCACTCTGTACCGGTATCCAATAACCGAATCCATTAAATAGATATACAAATTATGCAACGAATGATAAAAAGTGTTTACAAAACAATATCATGTTCAAAATTTTCCGGGCAGTTTACAGGAAAATATACGGCTCGAAACACGGTAAACAACAAACATTTACGTTAATTTACATTTTAATGTTATTTTAAACATTAAAAATGAAGTCGCTGAAAAAAATGACATTTACGGCACTGCAAGCAAAATTTTGTACCTGAATAATAACATTCGTTACAACATTAAACATACAATGCAGAAGGTATGTTTTTCCTGAAAGTATAAATACGTTTTTTGTGTTATTGCTGTTCTCTTTCCTGTGGGTCCCTGTAAAGCATGTAAAGCACACTTTAGCAAAACCTTTGTAACTAAATTTTTCTTGGAAAATTCTCTTCTCCATTTTTTACGTAGTCTGTATATGAGTTTCGTGCCAATAGCTTATATTTTTACAGGTACAGATTGCTCTGAATAGAGAAACTTCAAATATGGCCGGTCTGTACTTACCATAATATAACTCCATATAGCTGATTTTCCTACAGTACCACAAGAATATTCACCATTCTTGACAGCAACGGCTAGTTCGTCAAAAGTTTTTGGAACAGATTCGGTTAAAGGACACGACATGAAAGACATTAAAGTTCCACTGTAACTACTTATCAACACTACAACTGATAGCCACCATATTGACACGAGCAATCTGGATTTGAATCTTTTTACGTTATCCAGGTTAATTCCTAAGTATAAATATTGATTATTAATATTTTTTTCTAATAATGAAAACAAAAAACTTACCTTTATAAACAAACGTGCAGAATAAATTCCAGAACACACGGCTTCGTGGCCAGATTATTCCCACTTCGTCAGTCAGGAAATCACGTTCGATCACTTTATGCAATACTAATCCAAATATGAATACCGTTGAGAGAATCGCGATCCACATCTACAAAAAAAATACTTTCGTCAAAATTAATCGATATGAATATTCATTTTTAAATGAAGGGTTGCCAACTTTTAAAGCTCCAAATTCCGAACAAATTTCTTTTGTGATCAGGCTCTTCGTGGGTTTGGCCAAGTTCACAACGAAAATGCCATTTTGAAAGACGACGTCTTAAATATCATTTCGGACTATCCCCAAAAAATTTCTGGAATTTTCGACCCGTTTGCATTTAATCTCCCGGAGCTACGATAATACCACTCCGGGCAACCGTAGTGGCATTACCGTGTTGGCAACCCTATGTTAATGTTAAATACGTACATCCAAACCGAAAGGTTTTATTATGGAAATCCAATTTGGAATTTTTTCTGCAGCTTTGATGACAAACACAACGGGCAGAAACGCTAATGGAGAAGTAAATTCCATTACTGCAAAACGGGAAGGGTCGAGTAGTAAAGCATTGAAGGCCATATCGGCATCCTAAATTTAAAAGAAAACAATTAATCGTTTTGTATTGAAGGAATAAGGAAAGCAACACAAGGAAAATATGCCAAGAAAATGCGTTACAAGAAAACTTTGTATGAGAAACTAACCACTATTTTGGAGTTTCACATATTAAAAATACAACGTAAAAAATCCACGTGCTCTAACTTCAAGTGAGAACCTGCGAGTAACTATCAGCTTTTACGGGGTTTTTTCCACTTGGGTAATGGCAGGCTATTTTACTTAAAAGTGAAGATTTTTGAAAAATAAGGTCGATCGATTCTGATACTGCATAAAGCTATATGGAAAACAGTGTAAAATTTTGCTATTCAGGAACAGGTTATTAAAATATAACTAACCACGAAATTAAACATATACTTCAACAAAACTAATTCAGCAAGACGAAATCTCACTCCTATAGTGGTGCACTGATCCCCTATAATTTCTATGTTGAATACAGATAGGTCTGTCTTTATAAGCTTACTGATAGTGTTCACTACATACCGTGATGTGTCCACGGTGTCTGGTGACATTTCTCAGCCAACTTATATATTTGTTACAGTATAAATTTATACATTATATTAACTATAAGCTATATTGTTACGAACTTTTACTTTAATGCTCTTCACTAGAGAATAATATCGTATTTTCGTGCGTATAGCCCGTTGGTTATCTGTGTTAAAGACAATTTGACAGGGATACAAGATGCGTGGGTACACAGCGTATATATGCTGGAAATGACGGTATAAAGATGTTTTTTTCGTAATTCTTTTTCTTACAGTGCCACGATTCACTACGATAAAAATACTGTAATCATTAACCTTACTTGTCATAATAATACATTATAGGTTACTGTAATACATAATAGAAATCAGTATATTTGTACATTTATCCATATATACAGACATTCACAAATGTATACTTCTGTAATTTCAATTTGCCTACCTTATTTATTATTTTTGCAACTAATCCAGTCCACGAGGCGTTTTCAGTCTGATATCCAAAATATTTCGGTATTGGTTTCACAACAGAATAACTACGTACATGAAATTAATTAAATTTACTTTGTGTTTATTCATTTAATTAATATCTCGTATATATAGTTATATTATTTACCTAAATTTTAATTTCTGTTGAATGGCTTTAAACACGTGAAAGTAAATTCCGTCTGTGATTTTTGTTTCCGTTTCGTCCACTTTCATAAAAATCGGTATCTGCAATGTGTAAACTACGTCGTAAAAACAGTAAAATCAATTATTAGAAAAAAGTCGTCTTACCTGAACACCAACAATTTTCCATACATATGAATTATTCTTTGCTTCTATGAAGAATTTCATGAACATTAAATTCTTTTTTGTTAAGAATGTCTTATAGACAGAAATATAATAGAAAGAATATATACATTGAATACTTAAAAAATAAATAATCTATATGTTACCGCTCGAAAGTCGTTAATCTGCAGATTACCTAGGGTGATCCGTTAAAGTTGCGAAAATTGTTCCGTTTCTCAAATTACCTAGATAATGTGCAGAGTATCTAGGTAATCCGCACATTACCTACTAGGCACTCGGTAAAGTGAAAATAAGATCTTTGCCACAAATAAATGTATCACAAATAGGTGTGCTTGTCGCAAAAACCAATTGTTATGAAATTCATAGTGTCACCAATAACAGCAATAACTTTAGACTGCACTAATAAGTAAGCACAATTGGATAATGTTACCTATGGTGAGTAAAATGGCGGCTCGTCTCTGATTCCAGCAAACAGAAAAAAGGAAACAGTGAAGACGAACGTTCAAACCTAACCTAACCTGTTCTAATAATTTGGTTGGTAATAATTATTGTAATTTATTAGAATAGGTTAGGTTAGGTTTGAACGTGCGTCTCCACTGTTTCCTTTTTTCTGTTTTAGACGATCCGCCTTTTTTTCTGTCAGAGACGAGCCGCCATTTTACTCACCATAAGTAACATTAACTGCACAATTATATCATGCGATCACCAGAAAAAGTATGATAACTCTATTATTTTTCGTCTCCGGTGTAAAAGTATTAATAGAATATCGTTAAAATCGTCTCGGTCCCCTCAGTTCAGATAGATACTCAAAGTCCCGAAATTCCATAGGTGGTTATCTATATAATAATTTCCCTAATTGTATTAATATTTTAAACCGTTTGATTTTTGTATATTTTTTAATTTGTTGATGATTGATTCTGTCAACTAATTTGTCGATTGTTTGATTGTATTAACTTGATTCTTTACATATCGAAAATTAAATAAAAAACATTATGTTAATTTAAGCGTACAGAAACGTTGCTGTTGTTTCAGCAAAGATCATATTTTCACTTTACCGAGTGCCTAGTAGATAATTTGCAGATTACCTAGGTAATTTGAGAAATAAAACAATTTTAGCAACTTTAACGGATCACTCTAGTTAATCTGCAAATTAGCTAGGTGATGTACACATTAACAACTTTCGAGCTTTAGCGGTAACATATACATTAGTGGGAAGAATCCATTTCTTTATTACACACGCTGTTCACTTTACATTTATGCAGGCTCTTAGTTACATGCTGCAATCAATTAGTTGCATTAGTTGTGATGCTATGTTTACAGTAAAATAAGTAATATATTCAAAAGGGTTCGTGTAATTTTACGCGGAAACATGTACAGTACATATTTCAAGCTTAAATAAAACATACATTGAAAGCGAAATTTGAAAGTGCTATCATCACAAATCTTGTGGAGAAGCACTTATCCAATACCTTTGTGTCGTCGTGCGCCTTGCTAATTGATAATGTTGTCGCAATGTCTTGTACCAGAGTCGGTAGATTATCTGGTCTTTCGACTACCTATCTTCGCTACTTGCTAAAATCAACAAGAGGCAAATGTTATTACCAGGGGCACTGCAATCACTACAAGAGCTTGATGAAAAAATGTAACCGACAGGTAACAAAACTGAAAAATCTGCAGGTCAAGTATGACTTGTAAACAGCTTTGTCGCATTGTTATCATCAATGTAACAAAACGCTGATTTCATATTATATCCATTATTGAAAAATAAACATCCATGTTTAGTTCTGTTAACTGTACACGTACAGTACGTTGCTTGTTTTTCATTACTTCAATTGGCAAATCCTATGGCGCGGATATAACAAACTACCTCGAGATTTGATGAACGTAAACGTCTCGTCTGGTGCAGCATCCCATGGTTTTGTTGTCAATATATTTTTCATTCAACTCTGCCAAGTGATGGCAATAGAGAATAAACAATGTAACCTCCTAGATAGTGTATAATAAACTTTAACGTTTTTAATGCAAAATAATCATGATTTAATTATTCATTATCAGTATGATCTCCATAGGACGGGCTCCGATTACAAAGCAAATTTTGTAAATGGTTTTCAAGTTGTATATGTGCCAGAACCAGAAATTCGCTCGCGCCAGCGAGATTTCTCGCTTCTCGCTTGTGCATGGTTTCTCTTTGCGAAAACTATCGCTTGCAACTAAATTCGCGTCTGCATAGTCGCACCCTAAAGCTTTTCTATCTGTAGGCCCATCTTTCATTAAGATTAGATAACAAACATGTATTATCTTTGGTATTATGTTTTTGTGAGCTCTTCCCAGATGATTCTTCATTTGTTGTTAGACATTGCGTTGATCGTTTTTCAGGTACAGACTTACTAGTGTACGATACATACTTAGGAGATTTACGACACGACACGGATATGTTTGTTTTGTAAAATTACGGCAACACAACACTTGAGCGACCTGCCTAACGGAATGCTTTACGGGAAGTATTTTTAAGTGTAATTAATACTATTCGGGAGTTATAGACTTGGAAAAAACACGAATAACTCCACGTGGCCAGCACGTCCTGGCGAGGCACAAACCCATCACCGAACGCCCAGTATTCAGCGAACGGAGCCGCTTTGCCACTTTGATAAATATGCGTCTGACGTTAATGATCTGCGATCTCATGGAATTTCTTTTTTTCATTTATAACATGAAAGTAGTGTTAGATTTTTAAAATAAATTTACCTGTAAAATGTACGTCACAAACGTAACATTTACTTAGCATCTTGTCCCCTGATAGAATGCATCGCATCCACGCTTTAATCTTATCGCTAGGAACAAGGAAGAAACGTCTCTTCTCGTTTGATGACTTATGTTCTGCCTTGCATTTTGGCACAAAGCACGCTGACATTTTTACGTAGCATAAAAATAAAACAACTATTATAGGTCGAAATCATTGACTTCACCAATAAAGTAAGACCCGCTTAACGCGGAGGGTGCGTTCTTACACGACAAAGTGCTAAACGAAACAGCGTTAAACGAGGCCATTTTAACACAGAGTAGTAAATAGGGATAGGGGAACACGCGACAGAAAATAAAGAAAAAATGACTTTAATTTTAAGTTATTTTTATATTAATCTGCATAATAATACATTAATTAGTTCATTTTTTTTCTATATTAATACTTCAATTTTTGTGACGAAGGTTTTGACTTTTCTGAAATTCTTGTTTTTTTTTGCGATAAAGTCGTGAAGTTTCATTTGTCGCTTTTTTCTTTCTTTAAGCAAATGTCGGTAGCGGAAGATCGCATCCAAAACTCCTCTTTTTGCTTTTGCACTTCGTTTTGCACTCCGTTAAGACTCACCAGAAACCTGAGTTAATTAAAGAAAGCACACCTTTTGCTGATTGGTTCGTGTTTGTAAATAATCGTACTATGTACGTTTCAATAAAATGCCGCGATAATTTAAGTCGGCGTAAATTTTCAGCAGACGGCGTTATATCGAATCAGCATTAAGCGAGGCAGCGTTAATCGGGTACTTACTGTATATCCAAAGAAAAAAAAGCGCTTCTGACAACCAAGGCGTCAACTAGCGGCAAATACAGGCACTAGCTAAGTTTTAATCGCTAGTGGAAAGACCAGATAATGTACCGACTCTGCTTGTACTCACTAAGATAGTGTGAAACGATTATATTTTATGGGGAAAAAAGACCAAATACATGAATATCAGCAGATAAATCTCATGACAGCTTTTATGGCTATACCAAGACCATGACATTTTTAACGTGTTCAATAGCTAAATAAATCAATAATACTGATTTACTATTAATTTCTGTTAGTTTTTTCCATTATAGTCAGAGATCCGTTGTACTTCATGCTAAATCTTTAAATTTCTCTTCGTCATCATTGCACTCAGGAAACTAAAAATTTACATATTTCTGCAAAAGCACTCCGCGATATGCACATGCCGTTTTAAACAAATTAATTCATTTTACTACAAACATTGAAACTAATGCATATCCTTATCGATTACAGCGCTAAAATTCCCAAAACAGTGAGATTTCGAACTAATTTATTCAGAATATTAATTTTTGTGTGACGTGAAATAGCAGCATGCCAAATTTAAATTTATTTGGACTAATAAATATCTCTAAACAAGCGCATTGAATAAGGATACTTTTAGTTAAGGTCACTTAGTACAAACAAACATATTTCTTAAGTTAACTAATATTTAAAAGTAAATAAACGTTTAAAGTAACAGATATAAAAATACAGTGTCTCACCAAGTTCTTCAGCAGACAACAAAGACATTGTTACAATTATTGAGTTCAACACAGTTGTAAAATATACTTTCATTATCTCGGTTAGGGCCAACTTATTCAGTCTAAAGAATGTTACACTAGAATCTGCAGCAGATGAATATAAACGAGGGCAAGTCTATTATGTGTAACGTCACGAAAATAAGTAATTTTAGTAATATCGATATGGAATTTAATTTCGTTTTCATCCTGCATCAAATCGATGTTTAATTAACTGCAAAAGTAGAAATCAATTGAACAAAACCAAACTATGCAACTCATTTCATTGTAAATTTAGACTTTATTATTTTTTGGACGAAAATTGCGATTTATTTTATCTAAGAACACGGCATATTATATTTCGTGCGTTGATTTGATGAGATAAGACAATGCAACACTCGGTAATGCGTTAATTACACATCACAATTTGTAATGCATTGCCAAGTGTGCGTTTAAATACCGAAATATTTTTTATGACAACTGTAATCGGCACCGATACCAAGTCTGTATCTTATAAAAACTTTTAACACCCCTATTACGGTTTTTGATGTAAAAACGATTACCTGACGTCCCTCTTATCACCACTTTCCATAGCCAAATAATTACGAATATAAAACGCCGTCTTTGATGAAGGTTTCATACTGAATGTGTTTCGTGTGTATTCGAAATAAAACGATAATAATTTGAAAACGATTGATCTACGCGAGATTTACGGCAGTTTTTTCTTTACCTCTAATGTTTACGGCCATGTGTTTGGAGGTATTACGGTTTCTTATTTC